TTGTTTGTATTATCTCAATTATGTATTTTACTTTGATTATCAGTGCACCAGCAAATCATCCAAAGGTGATTGTTTGCTTTAGCAAAATCAAAAATAAATAAATAAAAATCCTCCCTCCCTTATCACTTTTTCAGCCTAGATAGGGTGATAAACTAATATGGTAGTTCTTTTTTTCTTGGGCCTATCTCCATGACATATAGATGGAGATACATTGCACCCACAGTGTACTAAGGCACTATAGAGGAGGAATAAATGCAGGCCCACACAAAATGGTCACATGAACGTTTAGGACAATGCTACCAGAACAATGAGTTGCAAAATGTATTGACACTGTGATTATAACTGAACTTAGGAAATCTGTGACAATTTAAGGAGGAAGTCCTTAATCAAAGATTACCATTGGTGTTTATTTTGTGGTTTAAATTAATTTGTTGTATGTTGACATTAGTGATAGGGGAGTACATTTACTTTTACACTGCATTACTCCACGTCAATGGGTTTCGTTCCTAAGACGTGGGTTAGGAAGTAATGTGTATTGACCTGTAAGTCATTGCCATGGGGCAGAGCCTTTTATTTTTGAATGTCCAAAATGTCTTGTGCTTAATACCAAATTTTTCAAGTTGGCCTATAAAATGCAGCATAAATTTATTTGTTATTGTTAATTTTCTTTTTATTATTGTTACGGTTCCAGAAAAAAAAACTAAGAAGATAACGAAAATCTAATTTCTACAGATGGATTAGGTCTATACTGTAATTCTGCCCAGTACTGTATATCTGCCATAGCTTGTTATTCCCGAGTTTGACCCTGTATTCCCAAGCCTACTCTATATCTAAATCGGGGTCAATGGAATAATGATAATAATAATAATAATAATAATAATAATGGAATTAATTTAAATTAATATTTATAATTGTTATTAAAACATGAAGATAATAATATAAAAAAATAGTCTTTCCAGTCTGTACAGCGTATAAAATTGTTTTGTTTTTGCGGGTTTATAATGAGAGTGGTACAGTATCTTTGTTTTGGTATTCTTGACCTTTTCAGTTCGACAAGATCTGCTTGTTTGTATTGTCAACATTGGTCGTTATAAAAACAATACACTTGATCAAGTGTTTTCATTGGCTGATACTGTTTACGATATAATTGCTTCAGTGTTTTGATTGGCCGAGAGCGTTTACATATTGTTAATATTTTGACTTTATTAAAGTGGCCAAGTGGTCATCAAAAGATTGACCATGTACACTATCAAGCTGGTCAGATGTTGATAAAGGCACTGCCCAGTAGGAACTGGATGCTTATTAACAAATGCAAATTTTTTTCATAGTCGTCTTTTGTTAAAGCCGTAACAATTGAAATCCATATGCAGATGTTTTTAAGGATTTGCCTCATCTTATAGTGAGTATAATGCATCTTCCTGTTCTGCGAGTTAACCAAATGAGGGAGCTCTTCATAACAAATTACGATTACAGCTGTTATATCCTTTTCACATAATTCAGTTGCTAGACAACTGGTCAACATATTTCTTCTGTTGAAATTATTTTTCTCGGAATAGTACTTAGGCTACGATGGAAACTGGCGTCGTTTTACTTCAGTATAGACGCAATCGGAATTTTCCAAATATGTGTACATTTTTCTCAGATGCAGTAAGTATTCACATTCTAAACTTCATTAATCGCAACAAATTGTAAATTGATTATTTATGAAAATCGATATTGATGAAAATGGTAGAATACCCAAAAAATTAGTGCCCTAAAAAAAGTTTTCATAAAGATACTGTATAATATGCATTGGTATAGGCCTACATTTAAAATATACTTTTGGTAATATTCAAAAATTATGATGTCTCTATATCATTTAAGCTCCTGGATTTTTGATAATTCAAAAATTTACAATTTGATCAGATGTCGCTATAAAATATATTAATATTATACATTAATGTATTTAATATAGATTTTAGAATAGATTAAATGATAATTTTAAAAGTTTAAAGTCCCTAGAGCAAAGAATATTGTGAGGCTAATGTCCATCTTCTAGATTCTATAATATTAGGACTATGAAGACATAGCATAGAATACCATCTGCCTTTTGATTCATTTTATTTTTACTTATTTATTTATATATTATTTTTTTGGTGTGGTTTAAAAAAAAAACACTACTGAATACAGACATTAATAAAAAGAAAGTTTTATACAGTACAGCGCAGTTTATGTATTCACAATTTCTTTCTAGTAGCTCTAGGTACAAATTTTAAGCTTGATACAAAATTAGCAAGAACACATTTTAAGGAAGTTAACAATCTCCTTATAATATAACACTTGTGTTCTGATAATAATTATTAGAGGAGATTGTTTATTTAGCCAGTAGTACATAATATGCCTATTCGTTTACAAACCATTTTCCTGAAACATAAACACTTTATATTTCCATGGTGTAATTAGTTTATTTTGGTTTGTATGCATCAGCTCCAAAATACTTTACCTAAAAATATACTGTCATTTTGAGAATGATATAATGATGATAATTCTGTAATCATAGAATGATCTTACCCTAATATTACCCCTCCCACTTTCCCCACTCCCTACTACCCATTAAGCAAAATGTATATATAAGAGCCCCCTACATATTAGAGCCCCCCTACAGTCACTATTACAATCTACTCTACTTTCCCCCAGAGCACAGTTAATGAATATATTAAGTTTTTTTTTTTTCTGTGGCCTTGAGCTGATTTCTTAGCTCATTTGTTGAAATCCACTTAAAAATCTGACATAGTCTTCGCTTCCACCATATGCACTTCTTGACGTCAGGCTAATAGGATTGTTAATGTATTTTTAAAAACCTAACTCCTGAAATAATACTTAGATGCGGTGTTACTTGGAATTTTGATCCGCATGGAAATTAATCACTACCTAAACTACCGTGCATCCACGGATACGAGGAGATTATCGTTGACTGGGTGGAATAAGCTGGCCAATTAGATCCTTACTTGGACAACTGTATTATCTTCTATTAGATCTCCTACTGCGAACAGATTTAAAATGCGTTTTAATGTCTACTAAGAAGACCAAGATGTCCGCAGTTTATGTACACAGTGAGAAGAAGTTAAGAAGGGTTATCTGTTTTGTGTGGGTGGTGGTCAGTTTTGGCCTACATTCAATAAAGATAATAGTCGAGTCCCTTGGCTTCTGAACAATGTTAATAGAAGTCCCTTATCTCTGTAATTATATCATTTAGATATTGAGCCATTCAATAATAGGATAAGGTATTGGATAGCAGGGATACATTTTACTATAGTAATCATTTCGATTGCCTGTCTTGTCATATTTATAGATAAGTGTTTCGATGACGTTTTAAAAAATATAGCTTTTCTTGTCCATCTGTATATTTCTGATTGTAATCAATTTTGTTGTTGTAGTCCAAAAATAATATCTTACTTTGTAGGTATACAGCTAAATTTCCATCAATAAATGAACACAGAATTTTTCTAATAATTTTGACATTTAAAAAGCATATTATAGAATCAATATCGTAGTTATATTTCCTTCTTTATTTGTAGACCAAAAATCAGTAACATAAAAAATGTAATAATACATGCTAAATGATGGCAAATTTAGAATGTTAAATATTAATCACCATGGTACAAATTAAATATATTTTAAATTAGTGTAGATTCAATATATTGTCTGTAATTACATTGACATCACTAGCAATAATTACACACAAATATATTTATAAATTTACAGTACATTTGTTAATATGTGGGAATTCTTAAATTATTTATAACATTATTATTAGCTTAATGCATTATAAGCAGATTACAACACAGGTGCAAAATAATTTGTCACCTGTGCTTTATAATAACCAACTTAACCAATCCACCTCAGGTTGATAAAATCCAAGAACATTTTTCATGAGACATGGTTGTTCAATAAATGTTAATATTATTTTTCTTCTCTTAATGTATGTTAAAATTTTATGAAACGATCAGAATTCAAATGCGTTAATTAGATTCCCACCATAATATATTCCTCGAAAATTGACAATCCGGATATGAGCTTGCAAACGGATGCGCATTCATCCGTGAAACACGCACACAATACTAAGCTGCATTCCGTATTGACAGAACTCCGTTCACGTCATACTTTGTTGTGCAATTTAATTAAAGTAATTCATTCATTCAGCATTTGATTTATACTCATTTGGACATGCATCTCACTTTTTTTTTTTAGAATAGAATGCTAGTCATTTAAAGGCTCATTGCTAGAGCAACAACCAAAAAATGCTTGTGTTGTTTTCTGGGTCTCTTTTTAGCTCATTTTATATTGTAATCAGGGCATCCCTGTTGGGTTGGGGGGGGGGGGGGTGTTTCTTTCGAGGCCCCCCCCCCCAACTTCCTTGTATATATAGGCTTGCTAGCTGCTTCATTGTAGAATATTCTCCCAGGAAGTGTGTACTTTCCTGTCCATAAGCATTTTGTTAGTGTAATAATTCAAATTTTCTCATTTGAACTTAAATCAAAAAATGTGATTTGAAATATTACAATCTGGCATATGAAGTGCAATGATTAATAATATTCATTGAAATAAAAGATGGTCTCCAACGTTCTATTACATTAGTGTTTAAATAAGTGGTTTGGCTAAAAGAATTTTGAGAGTCTATGAAGACTTGTTGTCTTTTGTTATGTTTTGTTTATACTGTATATAACAGGAGACAGTTATTAACAAAAGTTCTTCAAGAGTTTTTACAAAGACAGTTGTTTACTCAGATCCTTAAAACTTTGAATGTAAACTTAACAAGCAAACAAAAATTGTGAAATACATTATTGCGTGTTCATTAGCTTATTAGCGTAATTTGTCTAGAGCGATCAACATACATCTGCAGCGATCTTTTGTTTTCTTTCTTTAGCGGGATCAATACAGGCTGTGTTCTATTTTCATCTGTGATCAATATAAGCGAATGACATCAAATCACCCACTTGAGTGATCCCACCATAATCATTATGTATTGTGGATTTGTGAGAACGAACAGTTTAACAATTCATTGTTTCTCAATTCATTGTTTCTGTGGACTTAGTCTTTTATGCACTCGCAAATTTCACCCTCTCTGAAAATTTTTTGGAAATCAAATAACAAGGAATCTTAAAACATATGCACGTAGTGGAGTTCACGTGAAGTTTACGTGCAGAACAACCATGTTTCTGTGGGCTGGTACACTGATTGCTAGATCTAAGGGCATAAAAAGCCAATTAGCATACGAAAAGGTCTTCTTTGCTTTGACCCCTTGGTGTGCTACTAAAAAGGACTAATTTACATATCAATACGGCTTCTTATCTTGTCATTTTATTGAGTGCGATGTTAATCTGATGACCTCTGCATTTATAGTAACTTCAAATCAAACAACAGTTGCCCCTTCCTTGTACATGGTGCGTATTCTAAATGGAGGGAGACATAAAAGATAGTGGGAGGCGGTACCGTTTGGATAATATTCTTCAAAGACCAAGATTTCTTTTCCAAGATGTGGATAATACTAATCGTGATCTGTTCATACATTCACCTGTTCGGACCATTAGGAGGCCAATGTACTTTCCTGGCAGTCCAGTGGAGGTGAGATAAATGTTTACTGGTGTAACCGCAATGGAGTACAGTGTTAGATAAGGACGCGGTGAGCTGAGGTTTACCCTAGGCCTAAGTTCAGTACACCTAATAACTTAATTACGCTAAGCCAACGAAGTACAGTGTAGTACCATATACAGTATCTCTGGGTTATAGGGTTATCTTTAACTTAAAGGAAATAGACGTGATTATCGCTTCTTTCAACTGCTTTTCATCTAGGAAGTGGTGATCAATCCCACCACCATAATTACCCAATGAAGCGGTTGTATCTGCATTGTACACCTGTGTCGTAACTGATATTAATCATAATATTATTCCTTTTAAACATTTATCTAATATTATTCCTTTTAACCATTTATCGTTGTTTCTGTTTAAACTTTACCTGTATTTGACATTGAAAATTGAAAACTTCATTTCAAAACAGGTTCAATTTTATTGATAAATGAATAAAAATATATAAAAAATATAAAGTATGACATACATAGTTTGCATTTTCAATGTTTTCCTATCTTGATCAAATTTTTATTTTTGAGGTTTCAAATGTGTGTTGTTTAATATTGATACCTATGTACCTTGTGTAGTACTGCATGTCTGTACTGTTTATATTTTTGTACCTATTTTTTGTTAAATGTTTTGAAACTGTATTTTTATAAATATAATCGAAAATCAGAAAATCAGTAGCTGTATGCAATGCTAGGTCATTCAACCAATTTCAATGTTTTAAATAAATAGAAATGTTTCAATATTTATTTTTTGTACGACAATAGTTTATGATCAGTCACACGTTCACTGCTGCTTTAGACTGTATTTTTGTTATTAAAAACATTTTATTACCATGCTCAGGTGTTTTTTAAAACACTGAATTATTCCCTCATGATGACCACAAAAAATATCACTTCCCAAAATAAACTTAGATATTGTACTTGGAAAATACTCAACTGGGGGATAAGTTCCAGCCCTATAGCCCTATGGCTCAGCAAAGATTTACTTTTACTTTACTTGGAAAATAGAGAATTGATCCTTGTAATATCTGTAGCCCTACTTACAACAATAGTTTATCATTTGTACTCATTCATACCTTCAATGCTGTGTAACAAATTATCTCTATGTAGTTACAGTACTTTATTGCACTTTATTTATTATGGTTTACCACTGTTGTTTGTAGTGCACTACATCTATTGTTTTCTCACGGCGACCACAAAAACTTCACTAGTTATGAGACATAATGGAACTTTGTTACAATAGAAAATTGACAGTTCATTCTCATCTCCAATAGCTCCATGGATAATTACTGATCCGAGATCTTTTACAGTATTTCTATTCTAAAAGTTGATAGTCAATTTCATTTCTCATTGAAATTTTATACTACAAAATATTTTCTTTACTTACAGTCAGGGCTGCCGAGAGCAGCACTGGATAACGGGTCACTGGATCTGCCGGGACCCCCCAAGACTGGGGGTCTGAGGGCTGGCAGAGGCACCCAGTAGGGTCCAGGGGATTAACATGCAACTTCTTGAAGGGACAATTTCAAGAGATATTGCCGCGATCAAAACAATTTAGTTTTTTGTTGATTTGGAAATTTTGCAATACAAATTTTAAAGATTTTAAAAATTTCCTTAAATTTATTTTTTCTTTTTTTTTTTCAGCCCATTTAGGTTTTTGTGCAAAGAGGTTGGATATTAGGCCAAATAAAAAAAATTATTGTGTTGGCCATGCCCGACCGACCTAAATTTTACGAAATTCATGGTTAGCATTTTATTTATTTATTTTTTTTTTACTACAAGGAACAATATTTTTTTTTTTTGAGCTACTGTAATAAGCTTGAAATAGCCTTGGACTAGGCTAGGAGGCCAAGGCATAGCCTATTTTGATGCATGATACATGATGCGAATCCAAAATTCTTGTATTATTTTGTGTATTTTATACTTTCTAAGCGTGAACACATTTTTGGTTTCAAAAAAAAAGTTTTCCTACTGACCTACCCATTTTTTGGGATTTTCCCAAAACGTGGCCAACACAATTTTTTTTTTTTTTTGGCCTTATATTGAGCTACTGTAATAAGCTTGAAATAGCCTTGGACTAGGCTAGGAGGCCAAGGCATAGCCTATTTTGATGCATGATACATGATGCGAATCCAAAATTCTTGTATTATTTTGTGTATTTTATACTTTCTAAGCGTGAACACATTTTTGGTTTCAAAAAAAAAGTTTTCCTACTGACCTACCCATTTTTTGGGATTTTCCCAAAACGTGGGGCCAACACAATTTTTTTTTTTTTGGCCTTATATTTGTTTAATGACATATTTCTTTGATTTATTTTACAATTGAAAGCTGTCAGCTTTCTTAAATATAAAATATTGAGATTAATTGAAATATTCTATTTTGTTATTTAAGCTTATCAGGCACTTTTCATTGGACAAGTTATCATTTTAAATTTTATTCTTAAGAGTTTAAAAATGGGAAGGAGGTAGGCTATTGAATATAGTATCAAATATAAAAATAATATATAACATATATTAAGATAAGATATGAACACAAAATTAATACAAATATAAATAACTAAATTGTTACTATTGTCTCAGATACAGTCGTAGTTTCTTGAAATTATTTGTTTAAATTGTATTTATTTTTAGTTTGTGGATGTTATTTTACTAAATTTTGTATTTTTGTTGTGTCTGGTTTATATTTGTACGGTTTTTCATAAAAAAATATATATTTTTTTTTTTTCTTTTGTTATGTGTCTTGTGTTTGAATGCTTTAATTTCTTGTGTTCAGTTACAAGAAAAACATGTTCTTATATGAATAAATCAATACTTATACTGTATACCTCATCATGCCAACTTATATCATATATCATTTTTTCTAATGATATATGAACAACTGACATAAAACTTGTTCCTTTGACATTTTAGCAAATATGGCCAGCCTATATTTATACGAGATGGAGAAATCAAGTTTGAGTCATGTAGAAAATACTAATGTGTATTTTTGTGTGTAGGTGTGTAAATTGAGCATTTTTATATTCAGAGCACTACCTTACACATTAAGCTAAACTAACCTAGTTTCATTAAACACCAAATTTAAACTTTTGAGCCCTACATAGACTGTTTTAACCATATACAGTATATAGAGCCTTTATAATATAAAAATATATGTCTTCTCTAATTAAAGACCCCTCCAATTAAAGACCACTTGCAATTATAGACCAAAGCTGCTAAAGAACACAGGAAACCCAGTCCCAAATGTGGTCTTTAATTGGAGGGAGACCTGTAGTTTTATTGTGTGTAACTTGAAATTAACAAAATTAAATTACTTTTATGATTGTTACATAATAAAAAAGAAAAAAAAAATTAAATGGAAAAAAAAACCATAAGGTAAAAAGACGGGAAAAGTGTGACATAGTGAATGTGTTTTTCCGGGTGAATCTCCTACACCAGTTCCGGAGTTGTTGTGTCATACACCAAAGGAGGAAGCAAGAGAAACCAGGTCACCTTCAAAGTTCGTCTCATCCAACATTAACTATCATAAGACATATATGCGCTCAAGAGTCAAACTCCTCCATCCACTTCACTGTCCATAAACAACCTGTTCTGTATTGTATAATATGTAGGATGTTGGTAAAATTGACAAATGAGTCCCAGTGGTCCGGCAACCAACTATGACTACACATATTGTATTTATATTGAAAAATTGATATAATGGAAAATGCTGTCTAGATTGGATAAATCAACCTCAAGAAATCATTACCTGGTTTTCTTTGTTTTTCCCGTTTCTTATGTGATGAAATAATCACAAAATAAGTAAGAAATAAGTAGGAAGTTTCTCAAAAATTTTTTTTGTTACGGTATACAGTAACAGTTATTTTTATATGACACTTTTTTTTTTAGCTCTAGATAACCTGACACATATTAGTAATTGTGGCAATAATGATCAAGAAATGTTCTGTGGTAATTTGATTCAAGTGAAAACAGAAAGGTAGTCAAATTAAAGGAAGATGTCTGAGATATAAAAATAATAAAATGAAGATGAACATTAAAATTGTCTACAGTATGTCCGTTTAAGGTTACCTCATTTGTACAAATTAACTAGACTAATAATAATATTAGTTCAGTCTACTAAACATTCAAGATGGGGGAAAAAATTGACACCAAAATAAAACAATTCATAAGTTAAATTAGAGTAAAAAGTAAAAGTAGCATTAAAGTATTAATAATCCCTGAGTAATAATTTTACAGTAAAACCTAAGATTATTAAAAACATTAAATATGTTCTATAAATAAATAAATAAATAAAAATAAATTCTATGCAAAGAGATAGAGTAAGAATATTTAATCTCTTTGCATAGAATCTTAAATTGGCTAGTTAGTTGATTTCATAGTAAAATGTCTGTAAACCAGTACTGATTTTATTTTTTTTTTCTTGTTGATCAGTGTTAACTTACATGTACCGGTATTTCATCTTTTGAATGAATCATTCTTTTGTTTTCATGAATTTTTTTGGAGATTTCAGCACAGATGGGATGATATATTTTCTCATAGGTCTCTGGTATACTGTAAACCCACTCATCCTTGAACACAAAATTGGGCATCTTTTTTTTTTGTTTTTTGGGGAGGGGGGTGTGGGGGAGGCTTATACCCGGGAATTTTTGCAGTGCATGCCTAATTACCAGCCAGTATTTGAATTTTTTTATTTAGAGTATTTGCAAAAGTCAGCTGCTCATTCAAAAGATAACCTGGGCTTTTGACCAATTAATGGCTGGTATGTAAAATTGGGCATAAAATAGGGGTGGGTTTATAACCGAGGTATACTATGGTTTTGCCTGTTCACATATTTCTGTATTTAAACATAGTTTGTTGACCTGTGCATAAATATTATGGGATTATTTTATCTTTCAGGTACAGAGAATACCTCAATATGATAAACATTTGAAGGAGCTTACAGACACATTACCCGCGTCACATGAGGATTATGTAGAGCTGTCACGCAATAGTAATTGTGTCTCAAATGTAAGTATCTTTTGTGGGGCGAAGAGAAACCCCACCCCAATAAAAACACTTGCGTTCCCCTGAATATGATTAAAGCAAAAAAAAAAAAAAAAAAAACGCTCAAGTAGTTAAAAATCACCTTATCTTGCAAACTAATTCCCCCTCGCTATATCTTTGATCCCCACTTCACCCCCCCCCCAGTCAGGACCCCTCCCCATCTCAAGATACACCATTGTTCTTACAGTATGTGTCTTTACTGATGTTTTTTTTGTAAGAGAAAATATCCAGTATTCATTATAATACATTGATATAATTATTTTATTTAAATTCTCATAAAACATAGTTACACAGGATTACAATTTTACAAAATATGTGAAATGCACATAAATTCTTTTAATTCATATCATTTATTAACAAAAAGAAAAGATGAACACGAAATTGATTTAGTAGCTACTAGCAGTGGCAAATACAGGGGGTGAAAAAAGTGATATCCTCTTCCTCACCAATGCAATACCTCGGAGCATCTAAGATCAGAAAACACCGCCTCACTCTCAGACCACAAGTCCTCGCGTGGCACTTCGCAAGTTACAGGTAGTTTTTGGCGTTACTCCAAGAACACTTCAATGTTCAAAAAACACTCTGAGAAAGTAGGTTTTTCCAATATTTGTGTGCCGTTCAAAACAATCGTTCTTTTCAAAACAAACACGAGTTTTCAAAACAAACACGAGTTTGTTCCAAGCTGTTACCAAAGAAAAACAAGACACAGACATATGACATCTACCTCACTTACCATGTAACAATCTAACGTTTTTTTACCCCACTTCCTCAGCAGTTGTAGCAATATTTTGATAATGTTTATTGCTCTTTGTATTGGTTGAGGTTGCGTGATTGGGTTTTTTGTTTTGGGACATTATAGTAATTGTGTAATACAGTGGATGAAGCTTGAATCCTGATAGAATTAGTGGTAATGGGTGTCTGTGTGTGTGTGATTTCTTTTGAGAAATTCTTCTTGTTGGATCACTCAGCTGCAATATCGATGGAAATTTTTGAAGAAAACAAATTAAGCTTAAGTAATTAAAAATCATATCACATTACTTTGCCAACATGTCTCCACTCCCCTCCCCCCTCCCGCCCACTACAGTAATCGTGAAAGGGGCGGTGCAAGGGGTGCCAGGGATCTACATTTGGAAGTAAAACAATTCGTTGGGGAGGGGAAAAAAGTATTTTTAATATATTAATAGACTCTAAAATCAATTAGATATGTCTTTGAAACCCCTAAACTGGACAACTTCCAAGACATTTTAAGTGACCAACCACGCCCACTCACGCTTTCGTTTTGGACATCGGGACCCCTTTTAGGCAAATCTTGACTCCACAACTGGTTGTTGAGACTTCATTCACCCTCACCTTTCCCCATCAGCTTTTTCTCCCATATTAAGACTCTTAATTGCACCATTGTCAATAGACATTTGAAATGATAATACTGTACCCCTCATATTTTTAAGGTTGTTTGTCACAAATGTCATTTTATAAAATCCAATATTGATGCAGTATTTACAATTAGTCATTTGAGACACTAGAAGGATCGTCTACAAATGACAGACAGACAAAGATATGGAATTATTAATAATAAATTCAGTTTACTCATTTCAAGGACAAGAAAAAATACTATCTTGATCTTTGTGATTTCTACAGTACTGTAGTTCTTCAAGCTATATTTCAAGATTGTTTAAAAAAAATCAAAAAGAAATTTAATTAAAACTTTGAGATTTAAAGTTGAATTGATTGGAAAGGAGTTGAATGGCTTAGCAGTCTTCTAATCCCAGGGTCCTGGGTTCAATCCCTGTGACAACAGGACTTTTTCTCATGACTTAAAACAACTCCACAACAACTCTTTATAAAGCATCGTTCCATCCTGTAAGTGGTGAATGTACTTGCTGTTAGATGTGAAGGAAATTTTTAAAAAACTTAAAAACAATTTTTAAAAATAAGTTATTAACTTCTAACCAGAAACATTAGTAAATATTAGCATTCATGGATTCACAGATATTGATTACCAGCCAACAAAAAAAAAAATTTTAATCATTCAACTTTATTTTAATAGATGGTTAAAGATCGAGAAGATGATGTTAAACTTGCATCAAATGAAGCGAAATTGTTGCAAATTCAGGAGCGATTTCCAAGTGATGAACTATACCTGAACGACAGTGAATACTATATGTGTAAATCACAGGTAAGAATTTGCATATTCATCTTGATATTTTTGCAGGTGTGTTTATGGATCAATCAAGATACTGGATTGTAATGTTGTGTTTTATACTAAAAAGCTATCAAATGCATTTTATAATACATCATGGAAGGTAGCTTAGTTGTGTTTTATACTAAAAAGCTATCAAATGCATTTTATAATACATCATGGAAGGTAGCTTCATTGATCAATGCCGTAGCCAGAGCTATTTTTCTATTGGGTCCACAAAGAATGGGTCTGCATTTTTTTAAATAGGTCAAAACATTTATTATGGAAAATGAATAAATGCATATTTAGGGCATAGGGGCAGTGTCAGTACCATTTTCCCGATGGCATGTCTAAGCTGTTTGACTGGAGACCTAACGGTTGGGGCTCAACAATCCACCATGTATCTTGAAAAATTGGCCAATATTGGCACATTTCACCCTGTTCTAGGATATTTTAAGACAACAAATCTGTGGCCAATGGTACAGTAGCTGGGCCTGTTTGTTGGGCAGTAAACCGCTCCTGCTCATTGGCTAGCACTGCCATTGAATGTTACACTTATTGTTTAGTACAGGTAATTCCATACAGTACGTAGGATGCCCGTTGAATTGAACACACTGTCTCAAACCTGCTAATGAATAATTGGTTGTAGCAATTATCACATCGCAAATCCACTCCTTTTTGTCATGTTCATTAAATAGGATTGATCGCTGCTACTTTCTGATGTGGGATATAATTCAGTTTATGAGCAAATGCATATTAAAGTATAATGCGGGGCTATTAAGCTATGGACGTGCTTTCTCTACGTAACAATCATGACATCATGTCCTTATTCGGAAAACATCACTGACGTCATCATTGACAAATAAATAAATGAATTATTTCAATTTTCTGTATAGTTAATTAATTTCTCTACAGCAAATACTCAGAATATTGCTTACCAATATATTTTTAAGCAATTTGTCAATATTTTTTTTTTTTTTTTTTTTTTTTTTTGCCCAGTTCCATGTTTCATAGAGTAATAAACTGATTATACATTCCAAATATATATCAACTGAACGTATAGCCCTAAACACTTAATTCCTGACCAATATATTTTCCATTGCATTTATAAGTGATCATTCTATGGTCCCTGTTGTTGGAAATTGTTTCATTTTTTTTTTTTATTATTATATATTTTTTTTTATTTATATATAGAGTTATTCTATTTTTGAATTGATTTTCTTTTAAGTTTTCCCAGATTTTTACTACGTATTGGTACAGAAATCTTTAATTAAAAGAAACTGCTTAATTTCTTAGATCATATATACTGTTAAAAATATTGAAGTTTAATAATCAACTGCATTAAAGAGTTATTGACAGAAGTGAAAATTGTGAGTGTTTGAGGAGAAAAAAATGGATACCCCACCCACTTGGAGTCAGTTGCTATGTTTAGTACAGTAATTGGATAAATTGATCATTCTAATTTTCAAATAACTTTTTAAATTAAAGTAAACATACTTCAAATATAGTCAGATATGCTACTGATTTTCAAAACATTCTTATATACAAAATAAACAAATTCAAGTAATGCTTTTTAGTGTTCTTGTTTGTATGTCAACCCAGACAGAATACAGTTAATGTATTCCTATTACAGAAAAACAACTGTTTTTTTTTTCACGTTTTGATGACGAAGTTGATTGTTATTACATAGCAAAATCTTCTATTTTAGTACATCCAAAGCCTGAGTTCATCCCAAACGGACAGTCAAGTTATGTGCATTAAGATCCGTCATACACTGTAGTCATAACAGATCCATAATAAAATTACAGATGTTATAAAAATGGAGACTGTGATGTCACTTGCATGCAATCAGCGTCACACAAATGGGTATTTAAGAAGTTGTTTCTACTAGTGCCAATAAGTGTTGTGCGCTGTTCAAGTTTAATTGATAAGAACTTTGACGTCATCCTCATACAGTAGTGTGTTTTTCAAGTTCCGTGTTCCAAACTTGCGTAGACTATCTCCTGTAATGGTAATGATAATAAATCATGTATTACATACATCAACATAAGTAATGTTCCGGTATGTAATGTTGTCATAGTTGTATCAATACACAAATTCATTATTTTTTTTTAAATGGCAGATGATCCATCGAACTTAAGCTGCTTTCTCCTAAAGTCTCTTAGACGCTGGGTAATGGAGTTAATATAGGTTATGAGGAAAATCTTATTGTTTTGCCAGAATTGAACCCAAGACATTAGGATGAGAAAGCAGGCACTGAAACACCATGTCATAAATTCACATCAGTTTTACTGCTGTACAATATAGTTCATGCATGCATTTATTCTTTAATTCATTTATATACAGTAGATCTCAAAATTTAGGCTAATTTAGTTTAGGTAAATTAAATTCATTATTATTCCACGTATGCAGCTAGTCACTCCTATAATGTAGCATGAAGCTAGTAACACAGAGATTTCTAGATGTTTCATGCATTGTACAATAATTATGATGTTATCCCTAAACTCCAGATGTTAAACCTAAAATTGATTTTATAGCATTAAACCTCTCTAGAGATTTGGTGTATTTTTTTTTTAAATCTTGGACCATGAAAACAATTACTAATTTCCTATATCCCTTTTAGGGGGAGGGGGGTTGCCTTCTTTTTTTATTTTCAAAAGGCAAAATATCATTTTAATCCTAATGAAATTCAATCATCCTGTTAAAAATTTAGATGAGTCTGCCTAGGCCTTGACATAAGAGTATGTATTATATGTGTTGTATCTGTCTTTCTGATAAAATAAAAGGAACCTCATTTTACAGTGATTTGGAGTAGAAATCTCATTTGGAGTATCCCTATTGGGGACACCCACTATTAAGGGGGACATACCTTACCTATAATATTATCTGGACCTTTTTTTGTCATGAATCCAGGGAAAATCTTCATCACAACGGCCAACCCTTATTCAGGATGTGTACCGTTAATAAGGCTCTCGTGCATTTCATCATTATTGCGTGAGGAAATGGTATTGCAATATCAAAGTGGATGTTTTTCACTTGCTTATGATGATTGTGCAGATAAGTTTAGATATTGTTTCCTATAGGTGTGTGTGTGTTTCCTTGTTGCACTTGGAAAAGGAAGGCCACCTCAAAATGACTTTGTGTTACTCAATATTATTACAGATAGAATAAAACATGCCCAACAATTATAACATTTTAAAAATGTTTCAATCTCTCCCTAAAATCATATTCTATTTTTTAAATTATTTTTCCACCATTTAAAATAATCTTCCATTGACTATTTCAAAAAGAAATACCACTTATTATTTTCATATTCAAATTTAATAACTAAATATATTTTGAAGTGTACCATAATCATTTTTTCATTAGGCCTATTTTATGATCTTAAAGATGGCCTTCAGGTGGGATTGGCTGGTATAGCATTTCTCTACAAAACCTGCCTTTACAGTATCTTGTGATTTGATTTGAATCATATTTTTCTTGGATATTTTTCTATCAATGTGATTGAATTCATCTATCAGGGATTTTATTATATAAGTTTTCAGCAGAATCTGGGTAAGGTTATTCTTCAGTAATTTTTAATCTATTTTGTTTTCTTTGAGTTCTTTGAGAGTTACTGCCTGTCACTACTTTTCTAATGGGCTCTATGCATTAATAAGGCCAATTCAGACAGCGTCGTACGACGCAGCCCGACTCGATTGGTTGTGGCGTCGGGTCTGTGTGAGTTAAACGCAGACGCGTCAGGGAAAGTCGCGTCGTAGAATATTAAACATGTTTAATATTTCTCACAACGGCTTAAGACTGTCCCCGACGTTAAATCGGGTCAGGCTGCGTCGGCCGACGCTGTCTGAGTTGGCTTTTACAATAAGCAAATTCCCGATAAGGTCAGACTTTTTTTATACCTTGTTTCACAAACTTATTTTTTTAAAGATTGTCAGAGGAGGGCGAAAAAAATTAAAATAAAATTATTAAATTATCTTATTTAAGCAAATGGTTTTGAAAAACAACATCCAGAAGGAGAAAATACAAATGAAATGTTATCAAGGTAACAGTGAAGAACTGGGATGGTTAAATGCTTTAAACTTATAAAATTAGGAAGAAATATACATCTTAGTTTTGGAGATTTCAAGGCAGCGATGGGCGTAATAAAAATAAATTAAAATTTGTTTTTTCTGAAACTTCCATTTTTTCCTGTCAGCAGGTGCGCTAACTGGCCAAAAATTAATTTTTTATTTTTATCCGAAATCATTATTGGCGGGCAACATTTTCGCTAAACAAGTTTTAAAAAATAAAAATAAAGAAAAAAATTTTTTTTTTTTTTTTAAATTTCTATTTTTTCGTAGCAGCGGGTGCACTGACTGACCAAAAATTAATTTTTATTTTTGTTCAAAATTATTATTGGCGGGGGGACAGGTTTCGCTAAACAAGGTTTAAAAAAAGTCTTACCTAAACACAAATAAAAAAATTATTTGGATTGCCTTTCACATCCAACACTAATTTTCTTCGGTAAAAATGGTTTTTTTTTTAAATGTTTAGTTTAAAGTTTTCTGGAGGTTAGAACTTTTTTTTTTGCTAGGTAATTTGATACAGAATTGAACATGCATCAAGTGGAGCCTGCTGTACTCCACTCAATGGGAAGTATTTGCTAGCCATGCAAGGTATAAAAAAAAAATCTACTTTACGTGGATAATATCCACGTTATTCTCCTCTTCTTACAAGCCTCCAGACAACTATGTGTGCTCATGTGTGAAGAGAAGTGCACATTGATAACTTAAGTGCCTAGCCCTAAGACATGAGAAATGTGACGTAAGTCAGATTTGAACTATGCTTGAACTCACAAATGCTGGGCGTGAAATCTCTGGGTGTAGTGACCATCCAGGGCCCAGTATGTTTGAGAGGTATGGTGCAAGTATGGTTCTAGATTTGTGCATTTTTTTTAAATTGCCTTTTTGTTTTACATACAGTTGTATAATCATTGTTTTTTAACTGATGATAAT